CAAAACCACATGGCCCTTGCAGAGATGCTGGGAACAGGTGATGAGGTAAGGTCCTACCCTCGGCCAGGGAAAGCACAGGGCATGAAACAGGACTGATGCAGCGGGGATCAGCAAACCAACATGGACACTGCTGCGTCCTTAGCGGGCACTTCCTTGCTTAGCCCCAGGGAAAGGGCACGTGTTTCTGCAGGGCACCAGGCCGGGGACCAGCGCACCCAGCTTGTGTCAGCCTGGGAGGCTGGCTGCCTTCAGGGGACTCACCGCGGCAGGCTCCTTGGCTAGTGACATAGAGATCCTGGCGTTTTTCACACCGTGTCTTCTTCAGCTCACACTCGTTGGTGTAGGTCACACCATCAGAGCCACACACCTGCCAGGACAGGGAGGGGAACCGCTCAGGGCAGTCCCTGGCAGAGGAAGGCAGGTTCCCTACCCACGGGATGCCCTCTCCTGCCCAGGAAGCATGCGGGAAGGCCACCAGGGAGAAGAGAGGAGAGGAGGGAGGACTGCGGCAGGCAGCCCAGAATGCTTACCGGGTTGCGTGGCACTGCCACGCAGGTGAAGTCACACACACAGCGGTCGTCTTCTGCATCCTCGTCCCACCAGCCCCCGTACTGCCGGCACCGGTCCTGTTCACATTCACTACCATCGCCGGAGCCTGAGCCCCCTGAGCCGCACTCTGGAGTGAAGGAGGACCGCGGTGAGAAAGGGCTCACACCCAGCAGCACCGTCAGGGAAAGCAGAGGGGGCGGGTTCGTGTCCTCTCCCCGACACGAGGCTGTGCCCGGGCAAGGGAAGCAGCCCACGCTCACCCAAATCACAACAGCTCTAACCTCTACAGCACAGGCAACCCCAGAATCCTGGGCCCACATATATTAGGATGCTTATGCCTACATCTCAGAGAAGATCCCTCTCCCTTGGAGTCTCCCACCACTGCCATGAGATTGTGCTATGCCTACACAATGAAAACGGCACAGGGATGCTTTAGCAGGTGGCCTGAGGTCTTCATCTCTGCAGCATCACCACAGAAGCAAAAGCAAGGATCCTGCGGCTACCAGCACCCTGCGGACTCCCTGGAGATGGGACAGCTGAGAGCCACGTGCAGGAGGAAGGGCTGCTGCTTGGCTTAGCAACCACGTAACTCCAGGCTTTGATCCACCTTCTTCCCCTTCTCCTGCCCTCCCAAACACAGTGCAGCAGGGAGAGTGCTGCTGCTAATGCAAACATGGAAACCAGAGCAAGGGATGGGGTTTGGGTGTAATTTGAAGTTCGGTTAGGCAGATATTCTTAACAATATATAAACTCTCCCTTAGCCTGGCTGCCTCTCCACAAAATGCTTGGAGCTTCAGCAGCGAGAGAGACATTGCTGATTTCAAAGGCTTCTTAAAGGGGAAAAGGGGAGAAGGAAAACCTGGCCCTTTTTATTGAGTGATCAAAGGCTAGGATTTGGCATTACACAGAGAATTATTTAAGATCTTTTCCCAGAGGGACATCAACCTGAAATTCCCCAAGGAGGGCTGTGATCAAACACCATGTTATGTCTTCCCTCTCTCTAAGCTCTGCCATAGCACTGAAGTCCTTTCCAGCTAGACTACATGTGCGATGAGCCAGAGAATCTCAGCTCGCTAGGTCAGCACGTCGGAGGGGCAAGGTTTACGCTCCTCCTGTATTTCGATTCAGCCAGCATTAACCCACAGCTTTCCCCTACAGTAGGAAAACTCAGCAAGTTCTTAGTTCTTAGCCTGGCCAAGGTACAGCCAACCCCACGACCTTCCCAGGCACCCAGTACTGAGTCAATAGTGGCCACAGGCCAGGCCCTTGAGCAGCCCCCGGGGCAGAGGGAAGTGAAGTGGCAGCCAGGCTCCCTGCCCGAGGCACTGCTCCGTTTCCCCCAGCCAAGGCCCCACAAAGTGTGAAATTAAAGCAGGGATAAACCCCTTGCCCAGTCGGTTAGGTGGTGTCATCTATCGCTACTGCTGGACACGGGAAGACAAAGCAGAAAGGGAGGCAGCAGGGGTGCTGGGTGACAGCGGTTGGCCAGCCAGGAGGGAAGGGGAGGGCTGTTGGTGTGGGACCTGCTGTGCTGGGGATGCTGGGGGTATCACAGGGCACTATGACAGCCGGGCACAGCAGAGCAGCCAGAGGAAGAGCCCACTGTGCGCCGCCTCAGTCCTTCCTCACCCTTTCCCCTTCCTTTAGCACCCGCACAGCCGGAGGAGCAGCGGCAACCTACCGTCCTCACACGGCCCCGTCCTGGCAACCTCGATGCTCTTCTGCTGCTGGCAGGAGGCCACCTGCAGCTCACACTGGTTGTCGTAGGTGAGGCCGTCGCTGCCGCACACCCGAGCCAAGGGCTGCCTCTCGCAGCGCGGGCACACGCACTGCCCACCCACGCACTTGCTGCCGAAGGAGCACACCGTGCTGCCGCAGGACTCTGTGGGGTGAGAGGGAGGAACCACAGTGAGATGTCACGGGGACCTTTGCAGCAACGCCCAGTGTCACGGAGCCAGGCAGCACTAACGCCATGCCCCCAGAGGCAAGGAGAAGTCACCCTTCCCCAGAGTGGCTTCTTACTGCTTATTTAAAACTGTGCAAAGACTCTGCAAGGGACAAGTGACAGTGCCAAGCATTTCTGATTCCCATTGGCACCCACAGGTGTTGTGTTCAACAGCTTTTTCTAGGACACCAGCAAAAAATCCCATTTACTCTCATGGTGACTTCAGCCTCCTCCTGCTCACAGTGCCCATGGAGCACTGAGAGTCATCTGTCACGCTCAGTCGCTTTTACTCTCCCAAATTTAGAGAGGATCTCCATGCTCAGTTCAGCCTTGGAACACAGACCCAGCTGGACAGGTTTTATAAGGCTCAAAGCATTGCTTTTACTGTAGTGGCATTTGTCCTAATGAAGAACCTAGGCAGGGCTTTTAATTCATTAACTCATTAAGCACAGACAGCTCCCTGTGCAGGGGAGTGAGGAGGAAACACAAAGAGGAACACACAAAGAGGAATTAACCCCACGGTATGGAGAGAAGGGGAAGCTACTGAGATGTACCATGTGACCAAACAGACCCTCGATGCCTTCAGTTCTGGTGGTAGCTATTAACATGTTTTTAGCCCAATTTCTCTCCTTGGCTCAGATGAGCAACAAAAAGGGCAGATACCACCTATAATGTATAGCTGGGGCTAAAAACGAGAAGCTGCTCTAGAGACTCAAGACACTCAGTTCTTGTGAAGCCAAAAGGGAAGACCACACCAGACAAGATGAAAAGCCTCAAGCAGGGTCTCCAAGCGACCAGACACAGGAACTGCAGCCCAGGGCCAGGCTGCTGGGTGTCCCTGGGCAAGCCCTGTTACTCTGGAGCTCATATCCTCCTGGGAAATCCCAAAAACCGATACAGGCACCAGGAGCAGTGCTAGGGAGACCCTCCACACATCCCGACCTGTGGGCTGCGAGTGTGACAAACGACCGGTGAGCCTTGGATGGCCACGGCCAGGCAGCTCAGCAGGGCTGAGCATCCACTCTCTGAAATGCCACGAGCTGCAGCGAGACGAGGGAAGAAGGGGACCTTGCCAGACTCACTGCAGTCTCCTTGGGCAGCCACCAAAATGTTTGTCTGCTGCGTGCACGCCCGGACGTGGAGCTCGCACTCGCTGCCGTACGTGTTGCCATCTGTGCCGCACACGGGCTGAGAGGAGGGAACGCACTCCGTGGGGCACACGCACCTTCCCGTCTCCGCCTCGCAGATGGCCCCAAACTGGCACTTGCCACAACGGTCTGCGCAGACAAAGAACAAAACCAGTAGGTTAAAACAGCAAGTCAGGCAGGCAGCGCAGGAGCAGAAATAAAACCCCACTGCGACCTGCTCCCCCAGGGTGATGCAGGCAGCCTTGGGGGCGCGTGCCCCGGGGCGCAGTGCAAGGGAAGGAGCGGAGGTGAGGGCTGTGGGAGGAGGGAGAGTCAGCCTGGAAGGCAGAACAGCAATAACTACTCATAAAAGCCATCAGGGCCAGGAGTAAGCGTGATGAAACGCCATCGGAGCTGTACACGTTATAGCTAAATAGGAGGCGGGAGAAAGCGCGGGGCTGAGCGCAACCAGGAGGAGCGATAACTCAGCGGGGAGGAGGAGCGCAGCACCCCTGGCAGCAAGCGGCCACTCTCCCAGGGGAGAGGCGGCGGGATTCACACGTGGCAAGGCAGGAGGAGGTGGTCGGCCGGGAAAGGGGATGCTGTCTTCCCCTAGTTTATCAGGGTGCCAGCAGTGCTGGACACACACATAACGTGGCACCGATTCAGAGCACCCTGCCACCTCGCCAGCGGGACCCTCAGCCTGCTGCGAACACACGCACAGCACACGCACGCAGGCTTGGCTCTGAGAAGCAGTTTATCTTTGTGATAACTCACTTGCAAAGGAGCTACTGCTCGTCGCAGGAGAGACCAGACTCCAGTCAGAACATCTCCTGACCCCCAGGTATTTAGGGATTCACGGCTTCGTCTCCTCCTTCAGACAAACACCCCTCCTCCCTCCCTGCCATTCAACTCATGAAGAATTTGGCTCAAAGACAGTTATTCTTATTTTTCTTTCACACAGCAGCTGCTCCTTTACATGGGGGAGGGAAGATGCAACAACCCCCTGCTTGGTTGGTGCAGGCTGTTGGCCGGGAGGTTTCTACGTACAGCACAAAGCTTGCAGCCCCGCCTGGGCTCTGCAGGTTGGGAGAGAGGCTGCTCAAGGCAGCTGTGTGCAGGCAAGGGCAGCTCTTTCCCGAAGTATTTGCATCCTTCACTGTTTCTCCTGCAACCGTGTGGTTGGTATCAACATTTTCTTCTGATCTGAATCCCACTGGGCCCTCTGCTACGCTGCAGTGGGGAGCTCCGTAGGTCAGAGAAGGTCTTCCTTTTTCTAGAGGAAGAGTCTTCGTTTTCTCTGCTGTCTCAAAGCCCTTACTGGCCAGGAGCACGTTCCCCAAGTAGGGCCACACAGCACAGCTCAGTGGGGAAACGACTGTAAGGGATTAAGCCCAGTTTTGACAGGGCCACTGCTATGCCACACCAAGCCATGCCAGCCTTGGGCAGAAAGCCAGGCACCAGCTCCTGATACCCAGCCTGAAGGTTAGGGGCAGAAAGACTGTATTTTGACAAAATCGCAATGAGCCTCGCCCTACCTGACCATCCCAGCACATTCTGCCCCAGGAGAACCCAAGCAGCTCGGGCTGTGCATATCTGCAAACACTCTCCAACTGGCAAAGCTGTGCTGGCACAAAGAGCGAGCTTGCAGATGGAACCGCTGTGCACGGGTCTGAGCTGCGTACGCTACATGGCAGCAACCGAAGCACAAGACACCTCGACAGCCCCATCTCCCCGCAGCTGGGGCCGCGTTCAGGCTTAAGACTCCGCCTGCTCCCCGCAAGCAAAGCCAGCTGTGGCCAGGAGCACGGGGAGCAGGGACCCCCAGAGATCAGCTCTTACCGCAGGGCCCCTTGTGCTTCACTTTGATCTCCTTCTTGAGGACACAGGCCATGGAGTCGAGCTCGCAGGGGTTGCCGTAGGTGCGGTTGTCGCTGCCGCACACGGGGTCGTAGCGGCCCTGGCACACCTGCTGGCACTCGCACACAGCCTCCTGGTTCTTCACCACGCACGTGGCGCCGAAGGTGCACTCCATGCTCAGGCACGGGCTGGGTGTGCCCAGGTCTGCAGAGGGGACAGCAGAGAAAGGCGCTGGTCTCAGTCCGCTGCTTCCCCAGCTTCCCAGGGCACTGAGCACAGCGATGCATGCCCG